CGGTAACTTGTTACTTTTCCTACTCGGTAACGAGTAACTGTAACTTGTTACTTTTAAAAAGTAACTTTCCATTCCCTGCGGTACACTTAGTGTTATTTTAAAGTATTTAATTGGATGAAACTAGAGTCCTATATATGAGATAAAACCAGAAGAAAGCATTTCATTAATTGATCAATCAAAGAATACTTCAAGACATTTAATTGTAGCATCAAATGGACCGTACTCACAATATCCAGATATTTTCATATTTGGTGGTTGCGCGAAATTTTTGAAACGCGCGCATGCGCAGCCACTAGTTTACATCGCGCCGCAGTGCGATCGGCGACGACGGCGACGCGTTCGTTCACGTTCGTAGTCGCGCGCGCATTCGCGGCAGCTTCGTCCTTTTCGCGTTTCGCTCAAGAACCATGGGTGCGGACACATTATTATAGATATAGAAATTGAACAAAGACATAGAGAATGGACTGCGCGATCCGTGTGTCAAAATGGTCGATAGGGATGAGAGAGAGGGACAGTGGCAGACGGCCATTTCTATCTCTTTCCATTCAATGGTGTAATGGGAGAGAGAACGAGAGGGAGATTGGCCGTCTCCCACGGTCCCTCTCTCTCATTATTGTCGACCACATCAAATACACTACTTAGATACGGATCGCGCAGTCCATTCTCTATGTCTTTGCAATTGAAAGTTTCGGATGACCATCGTAAAGCCGTAATTACCCTACAGGCCGGTATTCATAGTCACATCTTATATTCAAGACCGTCTTAAGTACAGTCTTAAGAAGTCGCGAACCAATCAGAAGGCTGTATTAACGTCTTAAGCCCGGATCTACAATAAGTGTTTTAAGCCTTAAAAAATTGACCGACTACAGTCAAATGCGAGGAGAATAATTGATTGTGATTCGTCCATTCCTTATGGCTTTTAAGGCTTAAAAATCTATTGTAGATCCGGGGTAAGACGTTACTTAAGATAATCTTGAAATAAGAACGGATTATGAATACCAGCCTTAGGTTTGTTCGCGTCGCATACTCCAACATGCTTCAATAGTTCAATATATTCCTACGTTCCTACCATAGTTCCTACTCACTCTAATGAGCGTATTTGAGTGAGTAGAAGGTACAATAGGTGGAAGTAGGAGCATGTCGGAGCATGCGACGCGAACAAACTTTTGACTCTTACTAGAGAAACTCTATGGAGCGCGCGCAGCAACGTCCGCCATGTTGTCTCGCGCCGCGTTCGTTTGCGATCGTGACGGAATTATGATCCGTATGTATTTCCTACGTTTCGCTCCCGTTAAAGCGAAATGCGTACGCAAATAAGTATCGTGAGTACCGGGCGACTATCGAGACGTATTAATCATCGCGCGACCGTAATTAACCGATTGTTGTAATTGGATATCGGATTTATGTATCAACAAGTGAATTCCAAAGCGGTTAGAGCCGGTACGTTTTCGATCCAAAGTGGGCGCGAAAGGAATGGCTGAAGTATATTTTTGGTGAGTAAAATCAATACCTATAGTTTGCATGAGTAATCGCATATTTATCGACAGCGAGCATCTTTACTATATAATTACGATTGGCTGCTAATTATCTTGAGAAGGACCCTGACGAGAATAAAAGTTGGAATCGAATACAAGAGGAGACAGAAGCGTAAATAAAAGCTTCTTTGAAGAGGTAAAAGTTGAAACAACGAAGTGTAAAAAGGGTGTCTGGCTTAATTTTTGCCTTTTGAAAGCTTCGTTTATTCGTGCTTTTATTACTTTTGTACATTCATGCGATTTACACTCTAATTATTATTTTCACCAGGAAGAAAACAGCTTTGCAACAGTTGTAAAATTCTTTAATATGATTAGTCTTGCCTTTTCACACGACACAATTTGTTATAGACGTTCTGGGGACGTACAAGTCTTTTATTGGACATTCATTCTTAAGATATTCCTTGACGAACTGTGTTATGTGAGCTTAATCCCTCACTGGATCTAAAAGTAATCATATATCAAAGAATCTTATAACATTTGCAAAGCTGCGGTTTTTGTTGAATACAACCATTATAATTTTATTGATTCATATATCTGTGAACAACTTTAGAGCATTGAACTTGAAATACTCATTTCCATTATTTTTTACTTTTACCTCATTAACTGGTACAATTGATAATTTCGTGTTAATTATACGAAAAAGCAATTTTCTCGCTGCTTTGAATTTATATTTAATAATTCTCGTCTCGTTTTAAGAAGTAATTATTTCGCACGTATACGTACAGAATACATACGTCATTTGAGATCGAAAGTAGGCTTTCCTTTAATCAAATCGCGTAATTACTCTAATTACGGATCTTCGTACTTAATCGTCCGCTCTTTCCGTGCAATGTACTTTTCGCGCAGCTCGTTTTGCGTTGACTCGATGATTTTTTACTCGCGGTCAATTTTGCGAGACGTCCGTACACCGTCGGGACACCTCGAGGTAATTGAGGATGCTTAACGACTAGCGGCGATGCCTCGTCCGGAGTGGGACATCCGTCCAACATTCCCCGATTATCATACTCCAAATGCGCCCACTGAAAACATAATCGATCGCAAGAATCGAATATGTATACATCAAAGACATAGAGAATGGACTGCGCGATCCGTATCTAAGTAGTGTATTTGACAATAATGAGAGAGAGGGACCGTGGGAGACGGCCAATCTCTCTCTCGTTCTCTCTCCCATTGCACCATTGAATGGAAAGAGATAGAAATGGCCGTCTGCCACGGTCCCTCTCTCTCATCCCTATCGACCATTTTGACACACGGATCGCGCAATCCATTCTCTATGTCATTGGTATACACTGAGAAAAAATGTACTAAATTTTAATAAACATTTATTGGAGTAGTATTAACTCAACATTTATTTACGATGTAAACAAATGCTTACTAAATAAAAAAATGACAGTTAAATAAAATTAATGATTTTTGTACCAAATAAATACGTTCACTTTTAGTAAATATTCAGTTAGTATTGTTCAAAAAAATATTTATTAAAATTGAATAGATATATTTTTTTTCAGTGTACCAATCGCATGATGTGTAAAATCATGAAATAAAATCTTAGTAGTATATTTAAACCTTTTCTTTTTTTCTTGTAACAATTTATCATATCATTATAACTTTTATGTTCTACCTAGATCACTGAGTTTCCGATACTTTTCAAATAATACTTGATTACGAGACCATGTCGTTTCGATGAAAATTTTATGTCAATTTTACGTCACTGTAACTATTGCGTGTTACTTGGATTTTTGCAAATTACCTGAAACGCGCGCATCCAAGCCTCGTAAGCGCAATTGACAACAAAACCGTAGACTGCTTTTCGAAAATAATCTTCGCAAATCGCGTCCGCAGCCGACCGGACGATTTCCTCGCGAATAAAGCCGACGATATGACTGACGTGTTCGTCTTCCATTATTTCCTGCCATTTCGCTATTGGAATTCGAGAGGGAGGAGGCAAAAACTCTTCAGGAATTTCGGAGGTGCGCAATATGGGCAACGAATTCGTCGATTCGTTGTTGCGCCGCGAATTCTTTGGCATTTTTTCTTTTGATTTTTCCAGGAACTATTTTAACCTTAATAATCCTGAAGCCAGTAGTAAGAACACGATGACTGTATCTATACGTTCATTATTAATGAACGAGTGACATCTTAGAAAAATCGAATTAGGGAATTTATTACTAAAGAAATTCACGCGACAGATGTATATATAGTGTCCTTTTCATTTATGCTAATTTTTTAGCATAAATACGTTGTGAATTACAAGCAAAAATTGTTCTTAGAAAAATAAAATTAATTTTGATTGATTTAAATTAAATTTGGTTATTGTTGAAGATTTAGTAGAACATGATATGTAGAATATTATATGTATTATATGTGTATGTACAAAGTGGGTTAGAAAATTGTTATAAACAAAAGGCCAAAGGTGATGTTGCTCGTAACATTCAATATATATTTTTATTGTCTCAAGATATTGTATGTATTGAAATTTACAAGGCTATCAATAAAAAGATAAATTGCATTAGAAATAAATCGCGTCTAATAATATGAAATGTTAGCTCTGTTTCGTTGATAATAAATTACCTTTTAGCGGTAAATTTCTAATTTAAGGCCTAGCTGTATATTTTCTTTTTCGAAACTGTGAATTTTACAAAAACGTGATTAGAAGCATTAATGTTGTTTTCTTGATAGAATGCGCGCAAAAGTGGAACTGCAATTTATATAAACGCAATTCATTAGGATATTTTCAGCTCATAAAAGCATTGAAGACGATTGATTAAGTTATTAAAATCGATAATAACCCTTTAACCGATGATTTATTTTATTTTTCTTTAAACTCAAATATGAATTCATTATTTACAATTATATTGAAATTAAAATTTAAATAATTATTCGATTCAATATTCAATTAAAAGTAATTAAATAATGTTTTACATAAATGTATAATGTTTTACATAATATGTAGTTCTTTACATAAATATATATTATTGTATAAATTTCGAATATTGTTTATATTTGATATACAACGTTGATGGAGAATACATTAAACTTTCTCCTTTTAATTCTTTTATTTTTGCTTTTTCGAGCATTTTAATAAATTATAACTATATTTTAAGACTGCCATGATTATTTTACTAACAGAATTCAGAAGTACTCAATTTATGATCAAGTTTAATGAAAAAGTTAAATAATTATGTGCGGTTAAAGGGTTAAACGACCGTTTCCTATTCGCCTGCAAAAATTCGACTGTGAATTAATTGACAGAATTATTATTATTATTAAATTGCAGTGAACGATATATATAAGTGCTACACTGTCCTCTTATTATTTATACTATAGCATGATCTTTCGATAATATTCATGTAACTTTTTTTTATCGATAATATAATTAGCAGAAAGCAGATTCGTAATAATACATTAGGCAACCTAGGCGAATGCCTAAGAATGCTAAAAATACTAGTAATCGTATACTGAAAGTGAATAAAAGATAAGTGTACTATAAAAGTATTCGTATGCCATTATTTTGCGATAGCGTTAATTGGCCATTACACGTTAAAAAAGAAAATGTAGACAAATTTCTGTATACTAATTTTTATTATTTGTATCTTTAATCCTTCAGAAAGAAATAATGTGTAGTTTTTAAATGAATTATTCTAAAGCAAATTATTTTTTGTTAAATTTATAATTTTTCTTCTAAAGAATATTCTTTAATATCTTTGAAAAAGAAACACAATATAAAATTTACCAAAAGATTATAATCTTTAATTAAAAATAATGTTTACCATACTGCTAATAAAATAACACAATATTAATATTTATGTTTTTATGCTAAATATTTTACATATATTTAACATCTATATTTTTTTAGATGGTATCTATTGATTAATAAAATGAGATTCAAAAGAACAAAGATAATAATGAATGAATATTATTTTATTGTATAACGTTTTATGATCTGCTCATGTTTATATTCTCAATTGCTAATTAAAACATACAGAAGAAAAATGGCTATATACGAATACTTTTTGTACTTACACATGAACTTCGTTAATAATTACAATCGATCCTTGAATTTTGTCCCATAAAGAAAAATGAATTTATAATTGTTTGAAGTATTTAAACTGCATGTAAGATAATTGAGAATATTTGCTTCGGAGAGTTAAAAACGTTAGAAAGTTTCGTATAGGTGTACTTTAGAAATAATGTTTTACTGAAACATATCTCTCTTTATTTTTATCGTTAAAATAATAGATTTGAAATTGCATGTTGAAAAGAACATTTTAGTTGGCAAAGTATATCACCTAATATAAATCCGTGTGTGTAGTTATGCAGATCTTGCTATCAGCTCACTTCAGTATCTTTCCGTATACTCAAAGCTCTAATTCTCTCACGTGTGATTAATTCTAATTGGACGAACGAGATGGTTAGACGATTCCACTACGTTATGAAGAAATTACATTTATTTCCCGTTATTCGGAAAAATTCGCGCCGCAAAAATTATCTTACTTTGTTTCTCACTTGATTATCACATCCTTAGATCGAGGTTTGAGAATCATTCAATCCTTAAATCCTCGAATGCTTCTAATCGCTTGCTTATCACTAATTGATTTGCGAATACTCGAATTTCATGCTCTTTAATTCCTGAAATTGCCAGTTTGTCGTAGTATAAATATAACAGATTTTTTGAATGTGCAATAATTGTAGATTTGTGGTTTAAAGTTTCTAAAATTTCTTAGATTCCTTATTTTCCATTTGACTAATGTTAAATTTTGTAATCTTTAGAGCTGTTTCATCTGCAAATAATATTTGCAGTTATATCTGAAATTAGATTTTTATCACATAAAGTTAGGTATGTTTAAAAAATTTTTTAAATATAAAATTTTTCAATTTTTTGGATACAGTTGACATATTTTTAAATTTTTGTTTCTTAAAATTTTTCGAAAGATTCTTGAATTCTTGTAATGTTGAGTCACATATATTATTATAATCCTTTATTTCTTCATATTTTGATATTTTTCATTCTTCAATTTTTGTATTTGTGGAAGCCGAAACTTGCTTTTCTAATATTCTCGTTGTTAGAATATTCGAACTCTTGAACCTTAAGATCTAATTTGTAGATGTCACGTAAAATTCGAACATACGAATTTTCTGATCTTTAGGTTCTCAAGATCTTTAGATGTTCAATTTTTAAAATTTTAAAAGCATCTAGTCCTAGGACAATTCTTTGATCTCCATATTCTAGGAGCTATAAATCATTGGATTGTTGATTTCGCGGATTTCCGAATGTTTACATCCTTTCAGACTCTTTCTGAACTCTACATTTCTAGGCTTGTATCTCCTTGGATTCGTGAAACTTTCGAATCCTCGGATCCTGGAGCACTCTCGCATCCTTGGATCTCCAAGGACTCTTTCCTTGCCTTCTAATAGTCGATACGACTCTTTCCTCGCGGCACGCGTACACGGTGGATCTTTTCTTGTTTTAATTGGAAGACCAACATCCATCGTGAAGGTCCTTAAGCACTAACGCCGATTATGACACCACCGCTTCCGGGAAGGCCGGTTTCTCCCATCAAGGCCAAATCAACTTCCTTTGCGGCCAATCTACCTTCTGCGATCGCCCACACTACCAGAGATTGTCCACGTCTGCAATCTATTTTACAAAAATACATATAACAAATATATAATATTCACGCCTTTGTAATTCACAATTATTAAACCAATTTAGACAATTAATATGAAGACTATAATACTATCAATTTTAATTGGTGCAATGACTTTTATAATTAAAAATTTGTGTGAAGTACAAGCTCTAAAGTTATAAATTAAACATTAAAAAAATATATTTCAGTTTTAACCCTCAGTACCCACATCTCAAAAAAGTCCCTATCTACCCTACCTGGTATTTGTAACCTAGCATTTTTTTTGCTTGTATATCAGATTGTAGTGCATTAATGATTTTAACTAATTTTTTTTTAAACTATCATTTGAAGACTGAAAAACAAATTTTTTTTGAGTTAGAAAGTCTAAAATGTCGTAGCACAAAAGATATTTTGCAATAAATGAAAAGGGATTGGAAAGAAACGTCTGAACTATG